ATATAGAAATGCATGGCTTTTATTCAACTAAGTATTAGAGAAGTAAGGACCTCCTATGAAATGTGCTTTTTTTCTCTCTTCTGCTTCCTCTCCTCCATTTTTCCCTCTCTTTACCCCCCAAAGTCTGATAGGGGCCATAGCTTCTTTATATATGTGTTTAGCTCTTACACATATTATGCAAGCATCAGCCATCTTCCCAAAATACATGATAAAGATTTCACTCTGCCCTTCTGGCATACTTACCAAGAAAGAGAATCCTAAGTAGGTATCAGTCCCCTGATGCAGAAAGGGTATAGTTACATGATTTTTTTAAATCTAGTTAAAAGAACTAGAAAGAAGAAGTTATTTAATTATCCACACCAGTACCTAAATATTCTTGCACTACAAACATCCATCACCAATTGTTTTTCTCTAAGAAGAACAATGTACACTAGCATTTTTCAATTTAAAAGAAAGTGAAGAATTTCTCTACCATATAGTTTGCATATCTAAGGCACTGTATAGCCTGAAATGCCTAACTAGGGTTTTAGAATTATATATTGCTTAACTTACAGTAACAATGTTTTTACATACAGACACACACCCATATTCCAATTGTTGCTCAATATCTATTAGAATATGAAAACAACAACAAAATAATAAATAAAGTAATTTGTAAATACAAATGACCTTTCTTATAATGATCTAAAACACAGTCATGTTCCCTCCCTTTCTCTAGTGTCCCTGACAACCTCAGGAGGCAAAATTAAGAAGTCTTTAATGATTGCCCTGAGCAGCTTCTACATGTAGTTTTTCTCCTGCAGAGATGAATCAGGATGAAAGCCAAGAAGAGCAGTCTCAATGGAGGAACCCCATGCCTAATTCAACGCTGTTATGTGTGTGAAAAAGGTGCCAGTACCACAGGAAAGAGATAAATAAACTCTTCCTTTTCAAGAAATTCAACCATATGAACAATAGCAGGTCAGGATTTTTATCATGGTTAATAGCAGTCTCAGGAGAATGTTTGTAAAATACACATTATCTGCTTTATAACTTGAATATTATCCAATATGGTTAAATAAAATACATATAACAATATGGCCAGATATTTTATTTTCTGTGAAAAATTAAAATATGACCTTTCAGAGACTTTAAAAATTGCTATAACACAATTTTGTTTTTAAAAAATGAAGAAAACAGCAAATATAATGAGATTTTATTTTAGGATCCTTTTCTAGCTTTTTTTTTCAAATTTTTATGGCAGTTTTATAATCAGTTCAAATTTTTCTTAAGGAAAATAACAAATGAACCACCCCTGTGGGAATCTCAAAGAATAATAGTCCTTGGTGCATACAGTTAAATATAAAACATGGTCTGTGATTTAGCAACATATTCAGAATTCTTTAGGTTTATCAAACTTCTTCAAAATTGCTTACTATTCAATGTTAGATTATGACCTTAAAGTAATAGGAATCCATCCACTAATAACTGCTGTCAGAAAATCAGTTTCCTCAAGACATCAGGTGAATTTTTTGGTTTAAATCCCATGTAACATCATTTAGTCAATACCTTTATGGGAAGCTGGGTGTGGCAGCTGAGCCTGTATGTAATCTCAGCTACTTAGGAGACTGAGTGGGGTGGACAGCTTGAGCCCAGGTGTTAGGGGCCAGCCTGGACAACAAAGTGAGGTCTTCTTGCAAAATCAAAGAAACCCAAATATGCACCAATACCTTTATCTGAATTATTTTAGCAATTAAATAAAATTTAAAATATTACAGTCCTGTATCTAGAAAAATATTTAGAAATAAAGATGCCTTACATCACATTTTAGGGAACTGAAGACCAGAAATATCTGGTTATTTGACCAAGGCACTTGTTTAGTTTACTTAAACTCTAACTCTAGAATTATAAAAGGAGAGATGAATGACAAAAGCATTTTAAAAAATCAAATGTAGCTATCTTGTTGTGTACATTTACATATATCAATTCAACATAAAGTCAAGGGAGATTTTTTAAATCAATTTGTCACCATTATCATCACTGCTAAAACCTAGTTTTGACAAAGTTGCTGAAAAAGCATCCATTTTTAGAATAACTTCACAGCATCTGACCCTATTGACATTTGGTTTTTTTTTTTTTTTTTTTTTTACCGGGGATCGAACTTGGGTCCTTGCGCTTGCGCAGCAGGTGGCGAAACCACTGAGCTAAATCCCTGGCCTATTGACATTTGAATTCAGGCTTTGGCATTTAAGATGAATGATGCTGTATCTAAAATGAAACAAAAAAATTATGTTGTATTTAAAATGAAGGAAAAAAATCAGAATCCACAATAGAAGAGACATTACTTAGAATTAGGTTAAATATTGGTAAGCACTCAAAGATGTATGAGACCTCAGACTTACAAAGGAATCCTCTGGGAAATTCCTACTAGTACAGTCTTTCATTATCATATGTGTAAAATTCTTGTGGTAATATGAAACAATAGTAAACATGACAAGACAGATTTAAATTTCAAGAAACAAAACAAACACTATAGGAAGAAAAATAATAATGACACTTCTGGCATATCAGTGGCACCATTATGTACATGTACTAATTCCCCATGAGGAATGTAATCATTATGTACTGCAAACATAGTAATAAAAAATAAATACAATTTGAAAAAAACCCAAGAAATTTAAAAAAAGAAATGATTGTCATCTGTCAATTCCACCAACTTTTGAGGCTTAATGTATGCAGAGTTTCTAAGACATGTAGGGAATACATAAGGTACAAACTTTCAAATTATGAAACAGACAATTAAAATAGATACATCATTGATTTAATTTAATTATAACATATTATCCATTTGAGAGGACTGGCTTTAAGGATCAGTCTTGCTCTGATACTTTTCTATAGCTGTGAAATATAAGTGGATCACTCCCCTACTTAAGTGGTTCACTCCCCTAATTCAGACAGGCTTTTAAACTAAAGACAAAAAGATGTATTGGGAGATTATCATATGACATGTCTTTTTAAAAAGCCTGGCTATGTGACATTTGATGAAATGCCAAATCCCAAGTACATGAGCCCACTGTGACATATTCTGTTTGTTACATAGCAGTCTGAAGCTGGGAATTCAATCTCCATCTAACTCCACAAAGTTATGGACCATATTGCATAATAAGTGCTTTTCTGTAAATCACAGAGAAGATATCAATTCACATCTAATCCAAATGACCTTCGATGATTAATATTTTACCCTTAGTATGACCTTGACAAATCACATAGGACACGATTCTCTTTGTATTACTGCACTTGATGTATTAAGACTACTACCATAATTATATCATTTTTAAAACTATTTTGAGGATATTTCTTGCTTACCTCCATAACATTCTACCTTGCAGGTACATTTTTTAATAAACATAAGAGCATTTCTGTCATTCTTAAAATTCTTACCAAAACTAGTAGAATGCAGTCTTTTGAGAGATGTTTGTTTGATTCTACTTGTACACATCATGATACATATCTGGGAGGGTGTGAATTTGGCTCAATATATGTTGATTGCAAGAGATTTGTACAATGAATACCTATCCAATTAAAAGTTGATAAGCAGGGCCAGGAATTTAGCTCAGTGGCACTGTGCCTGCCTTGCAAGTACAAGGTCCTGAGTTCAATCCCCAGTACCAGAAAAAAAAAAAAAAAAAGAAAAGTTCATAAGCTTCTTTTATTCCCTTTCTAAGTATTCAGAATTACTCATGCAAGCTGACAGTATTTTCTGATGTGATACAAATTTTAGTTAAATTCAAGAATATATTTTGGAAACTAAATTTAGAAGGCATAGACTCACTACATTAGAACAGATTATTCATGTAAAAGCATTATAAAAGAGAAATATCCCTGAAGCTTGGAGACCACTCTGTAAAAGTAACATTGGAAACATCAAAGTCTTACAATTTTGCATTATTGTGTTATGGTCACCATAAATTTTCAACCCACAGTCTTCATCAATCACAGCAGAACTTCTGGCACTTAGAACTAACTCTCATAGCTTTCAATGCCACAGAAATTCGGATCTAAATTATTTATTATTTAATGCTCAGAAGTTGTAAATGGGATATATTCATGAGTAGACATCAAAAGGTGAGGAAATTGGAGTTGAAGCACAGGTTTACAACGGCCTTTATTCAAAAAGATAAAAATAATTTTTAAAATGTCAATCATAAATAACTGTTATCTTCCTACCTCTTTTTGGGGAACATAAACTCAGTGATCTCAGCATGTAGTTACTTTCTCTCTGCACCCTGAGGCATTTCTGGGCATTTCAAATCTATTGAGACCTATCTAAACCTCACCAGAAACTTAAAGCAGTGACAGGTACAAGAAAAATTCTAGTTCTCCACTATATATAAGCTAATTTACAAATGTCTCAATATGAATATATTATTTTATTCTACAAGTATCACTGCTTCTAGCTGACAAAAAATAAAAGAGTTCCCTTAATTTAATAACAAAATTAAGAACATGCATCAGAGAAAAGCACTTCAACTTCCTGTACAAATAGTATCTCAGATTAATCACAGATAATTGCACTGGAGTCTGTATTGGTAGCTTTAATCATCAGCATAACATAAACAATTATTTCTTCCAAATGAGCTATCCATCCCATTTTGAAAGGGGAAAAATACACACACAATTGTTGAAAAATAACAACTATAACAGAACATATTCTAGCCACCTATTACATAGGTTTGCAAGATATTTTTTTGAATAGCTTATTAAAACAGTAACAATCAATGAATTACATCCAAAATACTATCCATCTGTACAGACCTTGGGTAGTTACACTTTAGATTCTATCTGATGGCTAGTCTTGCAACAAATCAAGCAAAATGAAGAACTTCAGTACTTACAGACTGCTCACAGGGAACGCCATCTGGAAAACCTTTTGCATTTAAGATTAAAGCTGCACACAAGGTTTATTGTCAGCCCCAGCCTGAGAGAAGGAACAGGAGAGGAGGGTGGAGAGAAGCGCTTACTTCGAAAATGCTCCGAAGCGTAATAATAGACATCCTCATAGCCCTCGTGGTAATCCTCTTCTGGTCGGTACTTTTTCCCCTTTCTTCTCCTAGATCTTCGTATCTGCTTGACAAAACCCAAGAAGCGGTCCATCTCTCGCGCACCACGCAGCCCGGCTCGGCCAGCACCAGAGCACAGCAACAGCCCAGCTGCTCGGGCAGCCGGTGGAGCATGAATGACCAGCACCAAGCAAGGGGACCAGGGCACGCTACTCTCCTGTCTGCCTCTGCGCTACCATTAACGCCGAGATTTTACCCATGAGAGAGGAAAAAATGAGAGCGATATGGTTTTACATTGGTCAGATTTCTCATTTAGCTCAATACCTTCTTAAATCTGCAATTTGAAGAAAGAAAAAAAAGTAAGGAGAGCCTAAGTGAAAAGATAGTGAAAGACTAAGAGAAAATACAAATGACAAAGCTTGGGACTTCAAATAGTTTCAAAATAAAGCAAAAGTTCAAGAGATTCAGCGGAGCCAAGAGGAGTCCCAGCGCTAGAATGTCACTCTGTAAAGTCTCCATCACCAGGGGCGGGATGCAGAGGGAGGGACGGGGAAGTACATTAGTCAATGGACTAAACCAAAACTAGAGACTGAACGAGTTTTTCCTGTGGGCTAACCCTACCCTAGAATCTTGACACCTCTTATCTCAAAGTGCAGCTGGTGCTTGGGAAACTTCCTGGAAAGCTGCTGTTCTTGAAGGCGAGACTGATTAACCCTTTGGGCTTGCTTGCACATCATGTTAATGAGCAGCAAAGTGGTTTCATCCATATGCTCGGCCCTCTTGCTGACAAGAGTGCGGTGCAATTGTTAATTGGAGCAGCAGGGAGAAGGCTCAGCAGCTGCTTTCAAATGACAAGTTTACCCACTGGGCATTAATGTATTCCAATCGCTGTTTGATCTAAATATTAAAATGCACTTCACAGCGAAGCTTCTCATAGGCTTAGTAACAGCATACCATAATCAGCAAATAAAAGAAACTGCATGGTTTCGGGAAATGAAATACAAATAATCCAACTCACAATGAACTCAAATATAAACTTAGCTGAGTTGTTAACGCTTCAGGAATACATATGAAAACAGGCTAAAGAGTACACAAAACTTAATCTTCCTTGGTGAAATGATATTGAGAGAAGACTTTAAAAGTACACTCACATCCTGTTCATCCTTTATCTTTAAAAATCACAAACTAAAAGAAAAATGTAAGTACAACAATCAGAAACACTTTAGATGACAGAAGTATTCTAAAGGTTAGCAGGTCAGTGTTAATCATGGGTAATCTTTTACTCTATAGCTGCTTTCTTCTGGTCTTTAAGTGCACTGGAATTTTTAACACCAAGAAAAAATACTGTTTACAATATAATCAATCAAACATGTCAGCACATTACTTAGTAAACTAATGATACTCTGTGGCACCATGTTCTCAGAAATGTAACTTTAAAAAATGCTTTTTACTGTATAAAGGTCATTCGTACTCACATAACAAGTTTGCAGGACCATCCTAGAGGCAGCTGAGTGTACTTGCATTACCTGTCATTAGACTCACAATTTTTTTAACCTTCTAGATTTAGACTTCTCTACTTTTCTGACATAAATTGCTAATGATTAAGTAAGAGAAATTTATTCACTAGACAAAAACATTTCAGTTCTGAAACACAGTTACTTCCAATGGTTCCATAAACTTCCTAGAGATTTCTCATTTTTTATGCATTAAGAGTTTGCAAAGAGAAATACAAACTTAATGATGCTGACAATAAGATGCTATAAAATGTTTTATGAACATTTTTAAACAAAATAAATCATTTGTCCTTAGGTTCCAAACACTTTATTATTGACTCCTTCAATCAAAACAAATGAAAATAAATAAAAATAAACAGAAAATGGAAGATCTGGGATCTTATACATTATATAAAACCTTAAAAATGTTTTAATGAAGTATCATTCTATCCCTTGGATGAGGAAAGAACAATAGATAAAACAGAGAGAAGATACCATTTACAGAGAAGAATTTAAACATTCCACTACAGCTTTGTGATTTTAATTTTAGTATTTACAGAGACCGATTTTCTCAAATGGTGGTAAACAACCATTTTTAAACAAGAACCACTGCAAAGTAAAATTATCTATATACCTAAATATTTGCAGAAATAAATTGTGCTTAAGGATTTTTCTATTATTTGCTTATTTTTGAAGGATTTTGTTTGGGAGATTAATATTACAATATCTAATTGCAATGATACAGTTTTCTACAAGATAGGGCTAAGGTGCTGGTCAGGAGTTTAAAAGTTGTCTTTATATTTGGAGGGAAATGGAGAGTGAAACAGACTTTTAAAACAATCAGAGATGCTTGGGAAGCAGGAATAAGGAAGCCATTATTAGAGGTGCCTACTTGGACCACAAAGAGTTAGAGATGTGACAGTGGATGTGATGTGAGGGAGAGGAAGTATGGGCATAAGTAAGACAGAAAAGACACTGAGCACTCTGCTTCAAGTGTAGTGAAGTGGATAAAATTCTTTTTTCATCATTCGTCTTGGGGCCGTATCTCTGAATTTCTCCTATGTCTCACACAAGATGCTTCATGTTTTAGCAATGGAGGACCAACCTAAAATCGTAAGGACTTGCTATTAAGCAACAGTTGGCTAATAGCCCACAACAATCTTCAGATTAGTACAGCATAGTTCAAGTCCACTCCATAAAGTGAACTACCTTTCCTGAAAGAGAACAGTCCCTTCCCCCACACCACAAACACTGCTAAGTGGTGCTTTTTACCAATTATTGCACTCTATCTTCCAAACAGATGGACGGTTTACAGGTTGCAAATGGCAATTCACAGAACAAATATCTCCAACAAACAAATTTTGTTTGGCTCATACAAGTGTTTGGGGTTTTGCTGTTGTTTGTTTTTCAAAGTTGGGCCACAATGTAAAAGTCAGGAGATTTCACAAATAAATCGGACATTTAATTTTGCAATAACAAAAGATCTGGCAAGTATAGACCCAACTCCATATGGCAACTATTGATTACCACTGAGTGGTGGCTGCCATCCATAAATAATTATGGACTTTCCACTTAACCACATTTCCTTCTCATGGACCCAATTCTCTCATTCAGTTACCTCCTGGCTCCCGCAGACATTTATGCTTATGACCATGGTTAAGGTGCTGTCCTGAAAAGCCAGTCCCTGACAACTAATTAAAGAAATGCCAACATGTCTATATTTTCATGTAAAGAAATCTGACCATTAAAACAAATTGGCATTAGTTGAGCTAAATGTTCGCTAAACTATATTATTAAATTTCTTAGAAAAATATATTCACATGAGAAAATAAGGGGCTGAATTATTCAACAAAATGTATTTCAACTAAGATTAGCAAATAGATGCTAATACATATGTAGGGAAATTTAAAAAGAACTAATTATTTTCCTTCTGGGAAGTAGGCAATTACCTGCATAGCATTTGTATGGCTTTCATGCTCTTCTGAATTAGATTTTCCATCCTTTTTTAGGAAAAGAGTGGAACAAATATTGAGATTAAATCTTCAACTCACAATCTCTCCTAGATCATTGGGGGGGGGCTTTCTGTGCATATTTACATTGCCTAATGATTGAAATATTTTCTGAGTAACAGTAAAAAACATATTAGAGAAACATTTAAGATGTAAAATAATCTGGCTCTTTGGGATGGCTTGTGTCTTCATGTGATGCCAAGAACTGTGGGAGCCTTCCTGCAACCTGGGAGTGACACCCTGATACCCTGAGGATGGCAGAATGGGAAGAGAAGAGCAGCACTCTGGTCCCTGGCAATGATGCTTTTCATATTCCTGCCAGATGCAAACCATTTTATTGTAGAAAATGCTTTATAATACCCTTCTTTGCTAATGAAATCCATAGGTCATAGGACTCATGCATACATGATCACAAACTGCCTTAATAATAATTTATTTAAATATATATTTCATAGATTTATTTAAATAAGTACATCTGAGGGCTTGACTATAATAGAAGATGCAGTTACATTTTGTAGCCACTACTAGTGGATAATTGTGTGTAGGGGGGTGGGTAACTGGGGGATCGAACTCAGAACCTTGTGCTTGCAAGGCAGCCACAGCATCACTGAGCTAAATCCCCGGCCCCATAAGTTTTTAATTTAAGAAGCCTTTCTTTACAAGGGACAGAAAATAAAAAGGTACAAAGGTAGACATCAAAAGAAAACCACATATGTTCCCTGTATACTAAAATTGTAAAAAATACTTATGTGTATGTAACAGTATTAACATCTACACTCAGATAATTATAAAGAGCTTTCCACTTTCAAGAATATTTGTTCTTATGACTATTTGAGAGTTGTACAGGATTCAGGACAAATTTCCAGTTTGTAAGTGTTTCTCTCTTATTTCAGTACTTTTAGCTCACTAGGCTGCCATCACAAAATGCTGGCACCCTCCCACCTCCCATTCAGCATTGCAACAAGCCAAAACATTGAAAATAAATGCTCATTAACTTCAGAAGACTTTTTCCTGAATAATTCCTATTTGGATTTCTAATTTGATTCTGTCCATTCATTAATTATTTGGGTTGTTTATTAAACAAAGCACAGAGTCATCTGCTTACACAGTAATATATACAAACTAACGCTGTTGGTCTGCAAATTGAGGAAAAATCTAAGCAAATTCACCTATCTGTGAAATATTTCAAGGTCAACCCTCCACTGACTACAAGATTTTGAGTTAAAAAGACAGTGGAGGACAGTGCTTAGAGTTTGGTAATGTTTGCTTACTGAGCGTGAAATGAAATTTAACTGTGGCATGTCTGCATTTGTAAATTTATTGTGGTTGTTTAGACTTCTTGCAAAATGAAATGTCAGGCATTCATTCAGAGATTCCAAATATATTAAGCTTCAAAAGGCTCAGATAACTTAGGTTATTCTTTCAGTTTTCAAAGATCACTTTTTCTATTTTTCTATGAATTAATAGAATTAATTAATAAATCAATTTAATAGCTTGGTGTGGACTGGGCATAGGAGTGTAAAAATAAAAGCTAAAAAATAATTGCCAAGTTTGAAATGCTAAATGTGTCATCTGAATATTATAATGGTATAAAAAATGTTCACTGTATGAGAATTCATATTTGTCTCTGAAGGTATAATGTGTCTTAGGAAGAAAAGTTTAGGCTAGAAAGACTTTTCTAGAAATAAGATGTTATTATTACAGAGCTAGGTGCTTTCAAGTGCTGATTATGAATTTTTTAAGGTAATTGTGAAACTTCATGGGATCTGTTTGAGCTCCACATGATGAGTCTGAAGAACATATTATCTAATGGCTTCTATTTCCTGGAAATTTATCCCCCTCCCTCACCTGCTCCACCTGTTCTTTCAGGCATCTTAGAGAGCAAGAGTTTATTTTTAAATGGCACACAGTTATTTATCTGTTTCTTTCTTAGTTATGTGGGTGATTGGTTATGAAATCACTATATTTCAAAAAAGCTCAGGCTTTTCATTGATTCACCTGGCTACA